TTCAGCCATTACGAATTTCAGAACATGTTTATTACGTTCGGAAATTCGGAATGTACAACACTCAGTATCTGACAGACATGCCATGCCATTAACACATGTTAAGAAGGAATGAAAAAGCAAAATATTACCATAAAGCTTATTTAAGTGTTTGGTGATCATTGTTTGTCATTTTTATACTATTTCTTATTCACATTTAACTAAACAACTTAATTAAATGGAAAAGAATTAACCCAATTGGATGTATTTTTCTTATGATCTCAGATACCTTCTCTATTTTTTAACCTATACATGTCATGCTTTTTAAATTCGACAGAATTTGTCGTATTAATTCTTCATAATTTCTGTTAAAACTGTTTGTGAACCTCCAAAAAACTAGATAACATTTATATTTCGTATGAAATTACTTCACATAACGATAAAACCTTATGGATTTTTTTTCAGTAGGTACTCAATTTATTTGACAAATAAATTTTCGGGTTATAATAAATGATATGTTTAAATTTAAATTACATATATAATAAACTAAACAAACGCTATGATCATTACTTGAAAAAAAAAATGTATTTTTTAAATTTTCTATCTGTGGTTAATATTTCGTATCAAATTTTTGGACTTTCCTTTCAAACTTTAACTAGTGTAACAAAAAAGAAGCAGCTTATTCGTAAGTTAAAATTTTATGTTAAAATGTCTATTGACTATATTACATTAGATAAGCCTATAAGTTGAACGTTTTTTTATAGTCCTTTTCACGATATTAGAGACTAAATCTGTTATTAGATAATAAAAGAATTAAAAAATTCATTACACGTTCAGGTAATGTTACAGTTTTCAGACATAAGACCGTACCAGCGTGGGTTGTCGTGACTAATCTTAGGAGCTTCATAGTTTTCTGAGTAAGCGTTGGTACGCGAGGTTCTCCCTTATTTTAGCGCCGCCTACGCTGCCACAGATCAACCACACCTGTGAAACGCCGTAAACACCTGAACGTTATTTAATCTATATTTATTTGTATTACGATCTTTTTGGATTACCGAATACCGGTAATTCGTATTACGTCATATAAGTACTGTCACAGTTTAGTAGCATAACGGCTAATTTAAGTTTTTTATTTAAATGTATAGAAAATATGACTTCATATTTTGACTTTTGACGTTTTTCGCATCAGACGGCTAATAATTGAAAGTTACAAAAGCGGGATAAGGCCAGGCTTGACAACTTGCCAACAAATCTCACTGACTGATATATTTTTCCATATTTCACGGACATAAAGTTTATTCACCGTGAACACATAGGAAAATTTCATCTAAGAATATCAATGATGTCACATGCGCTATCAGTTTACATATATAAAGTTCTATAAATTGTCATATATATATTTTTTGTATGCCAAGTCTGCATACCCTAATATGATTTGGTACCTTATCGTAATGGATTCCAAACTGTGAGTGATCTTCGCCAACTCATGATTCATTTGACATATGTCTTCTTTATCTTAAAATAAAACATGTCCGTCTATTTTTATTTTTGCAACAATGACTACACAACAAAGTATTTTTATATTTTAAAATCTATCAATCACTATCTGTTGGAATCTGTGTAATTTTCACCAAATAAATTAGCTAAGTATTGTACTATTAATAGATATAAGTAACTTCTTGAATATTAACATATAAAGAAATGCTTTAAACTGTATCTTAAAAAGACAAATATTTGAGACTTAAATCCTTTTTATAATTCTTTGTAATAATCTTTTATTAAAACCGATAAAAGTTTTGTATAAATCAAAGTAATTATACAAAACAATGATCATAAGAAAATGTTTTTACTAATGGTGATTTACGAAAAGGTTATATTATACTTATTTTTAATAACTACGTTTAGATTTATTAAAATTGTATGTTTACTTATTTGTTTTTTCCTATCGTAGAAGAATGAAAATGAATAACAATACATTTCTTATGTCATTGTCAATGTCAATCAGGCATGGACTAAACAACAATGTTCAAAATACTTCTAATATGAAAAATGCGAACGTTTCTGTTTGTATTTATATTCGCAAATATATTTATTAATGTATAAATCCATAATTATTGAATGGATTTTGATTTAAGCTTACTAACTTTAATAAAAACTGAGATTTTTTGACTTGACAATCAACTGGTTTAGCAAGCGAAGCAATTTGCAAAAATAAGTTGCATGTATTGTATTATTCACACACACAGGGAGAGAGAAGCATAGATTATAAAATATATATAACATACAAACACAGATTATAAAATATATTTAACACATTTGGTACAAGGTGTAACATAGATAAAGTAACACAATGTTTTTAATAACAAATAGATACTCACGTTGTCTCTACATATAAGGAAATTGGCCATGGAAGCACATTATTTATTTATACAACCTTATACAGTTTGTACAATCGAATCTAATACGTGCTATAAAATAACGATTATTCTTTTAAACACAATGTTTACTTTAAAGGCACATTTATTACAGAATTCAATACAAGCTAATTATAAATTACGTTATTTTTGAAACACCAGCCTTTGTGTTATAAAACTTTTATAATGTTTAATTAAAACAGACACTATTGTAGTACGATTGATATGTTTTTAATTTTTATGTAATCTCTAGTCATTTATTTAACCGCAAGTTTAGCTTAGTTATAATAAATATATCTTTATGTAATAATTAAATAGAACCTATTTTTTAAAATTTAAAATATGCGGGCAGAAACGTGAGAAAATACTTGACAGTTTAAATTACTCACATAGCATTAACTGTTAAAACCTTATTTCTTTAACAGAAAAGAATAGTTGAGAAGTTTAGGTTCAATTGATTTTATTAACATTGAAGTTTTAATCGTAACTAATATGTCAATATTTTCCTTAAAATAAAATATTGACATCTTTTAGGGTGTTATTTGAAAGAACCGCATTCTTACTAATATGAATTTTAAAAATCTTCATAGGGAATTGTCTAAAATTCTCCCAATAACGGAAAAGAGTCGTGACTATAACGATAAGGAACTTATCAAAATTTTAATATTAACGAGATTTAATGACAATTATATAAAACATACGAATTGCATGTGTGTTATTTTTATAAAAAAATATATATATTAATAGCTGGAGCAGGTGTGATGATGCTTTGGCAATACTATGAAAGTCAGACGCAAGCGGACTAATTGTGAACCCACGCTATAAAACTATTATTTAGTTATTTATTAATATGACGAGTGTTCGCGATGTAAACGTTATGTACATAATAACCTCACCGATTGATTCACTAAAGTATCGATTGCCAAATGATTCGAGACTTCTTTCAATCTATTTCTGATGAATGATACCACATTTAGGATATGACTCACGGTACATCACTATAAACTATTATAAAAATAACAAAAGTATAAAATTAGTAACATATTGGTACATAAAATAAAAATACTAATTTAATTACTCAGCTGTTCGTTAATAAATGTCCTCAAATAAATAATCTAGAAGCATAAATTGACGTGAATATGCACAAGCTATAATAACTTTAAATAAATATAAAAAACTATATTTTATATATAGTTTATAATCCTTACTATATATCCCTACTAATACCTATTATACATGCGAAAGTAACTCTGTCTGTCTGTTACGCTTTCGCGCCTAAACCACTGAACTGATTTTAATGAAATTTGGTACAGAGAGAGTTGAACTTGAGAAAGAACATAGGATAGTATTTATCCCAGACTTTTGAAAGGTTCTCTTGGAAACGCGATATAACCGAACTCCACGCGTTCGAAGCTGCGGGTGGAAAGCTAGTTTTCATATATAGTAATTAATTAACTATAAATAAACCCAAAAAATAAATGACGATAACAATTTTCATTGGAATATTTATTTTAATCATAAGTCAAACACTACTTAGACACTACTGTCCTTATATATGCTGTTTATTTTATTTTTATATGGTTAATTTGTCATGTATCAACATTTGGTATGTGAAATGAAAATAAGAGTAATCTTGTATATACAATGGTAGTAGACTTAATGCAATGATGATTCAAATAATTAAAGAAAATGTTTACATACTTTAATACCTAATAAGGTTTGTACTTTAAATACGATAAAGGACTCAAAATATAACATTAATATTTAATTTGAAAGCGGACAAATGTCTATTTTCCAATTTCCTTATCAAACCCAATTAGGACAGTTAGAAAAATGTTATTATAATAAAAGAATTGCTTTGCAAGAGTTGTAAATAGGAAGCGTTGGATGATGTTATAGTCGGTTAGAAAAAAAAGTGAAAGAAATAATATTTTGCGATGGGGTAGCGAGGCGTGTTGAGTGGGCAAGGGCGGGATCCCCTCCATTGGGGCCGTGTGCAACCCGCGTATAGACTACTGTGAGCTGGTGCCCTCGCGCACCATTCGACCTCCGCGCACCAGTATTGGCAACCACTGCTAACGCGACCGGGAGTGTACATCTTCAACGACGAACAGGTCCGTGAAAGTGATAAAATATATCGATACTTGTGAATTTAGGGCTTTCATATAAATCTATTTATAACGGTGCATTACTCCAGCGGTGTAACTTTACCTGAACGCCCCAAATTTGGAGCGGAGTATTTCGTATGCTATTTCATTTGCCGTTTCACGTGTAATCGTAAATATTTAGATATCCTTTGTAACCTAAATTTTGTTGTGACTGAGCTATGAAGTGGAAGTTTTGATGTTATTGATGTGATGCAGACGACTTGGATTATGGCCAATGAATGCAACTATTAGATTTAAATTCGACAATGAGTCAATGATTTTGTGTTTGTGAGCTAATTAAGTGATGTAATCGTATTCCAAATATTCTGGAAATTACTCAAAGAACTCAAAAGAACAAACTCCAAGTCCTCAGTCCTAGAATGTACTAAACGGTTACCTAAAAGCATTATAGAATAGTCAGTTATAACGTATTTTCTATTTCAGGATAAGTTAAGCGAGCACAATGCCTTTCAAACCCGCAGACAACCCCAAATGTCCGAAATGTGGCAAATCCGTGTACGCCGCTGAAGAGCGCGTGGCCGGAGGGCTCAAATGGCACAAGATGTGCTTCAAATGTGGTAAGTATCAACTTACCAAAACGAAATCTTTAAAATCTTGACTATTCACAACAAACTTCTTTAATAAACATATAAATATTGCACTTCAGTTCAAAAAATAATGATATGGTAAAGGTGGATGTTAAATACAAAAAAAAAACAAGAAAATATAAGGCAATTTAAAGTAGACGCTTATAAAATCCAATAATAAGTTCATTTTACGGACTTAAGTGTAGTCACGTGGTTTCGAATCTCCAGCGATATATGTCTATTTATATAATTGAGAACGTAGTAAAGTTTTTCTGATATTACATATAATATAATCTGTTTATTTGCATTAAGGCAAGTAATTCAAAAATTCGTCACGCAGGTCTCTGCCAAAAGTTGCTGGACTCCACCAACTGTTCAGAGCACGAAGGTGAACTTTACTGCAAAGTATGCCACGCCCGCAAATTCGGACCCAAAGGTTACGGCTTCGGCGGTGGTGCTGGCTGCCTGTCCATGGACACCGGTGACCATCTTAAAGCTGAGAACGCGTAAGTACACATCATATTATAACGGTCGCCCGCCGCCCGCGCCTCTGAGGGACTTTCCTTATCTAAGGTCGAACAGACCGGCCTCCGGGCCCGTACGTAACAACATTAACCGCGTGTATATAATCTCATATAAGCAGAAAGTGCGCGCTCGGCTGTAAATTATGCGCTGCTCGATATGTGCATGACCAGTCTCCGTTTATGTCGCAACAGGAATTGAGAGCAGCCGTCCAGCAGAGCTAGAGGGATGACAACCCACTCGGCCAACCAGCTGTGCCTCGCGATCGCCACTGTACTTTAAATTACCTTAGTTAGGATTATTATTCGCTATCGCTTAATTTATTTTGTTTATCGGTATATTTAATTATAATTTATAAAAAATAATAATAATAAAACAGTCGACTACCAATTCCGAGTTGTTGTTAAACGGGAAAGCAGTCAGTTGGCGAGAGACCTATCTCTCAGCTCAATCGTGGCTCTCGAAGGCTGACCGCTTTCTTGACCTATTCCTCCCTTACGATCGGGACGTTCCGAAAGAAGCACAATGGTGAGAACCCAATCTAATAAAGCCTAAGCACGGCTTCGCAACGCTCGAGACGCACCTTAAAGCATGCTTAGCTCAAAGCCACATTTTCTATATTGTAACTTTCTTCGCAACTTATCCAAACTAACATTTTGTGCTTGTCAGCCTTAAACATAGCTAATAAATGTGATGGGATAAGGAAAGCGCCCTCTGATGAGTTGTAATAATTGTATTGTATACGTAGCTAGAAGTTTACATGGGCCAGTGGTGCGGGCGGCCGGATCCCTTACCTTCTCCCATTACGGCGGAGATGCGCCGTCTGTATCATTCGCTTCGCTACCATCTGTGTGATATTCCGTATCTGTAGAAGTGTCCGGTGACTTCCGGCACTTTTAATTCGCAAATTTAACAATTCTTCTTTGCTCATTCAGGATGAAAACTTTGTCTGACCGAAACTCATGCTATTTATATGTACAGGGGCGTACGAACTAATGGCGCCTGCTTGGAGTCTCGTGTGATAGCTAAGGCTCCCCCTGGTGAGGGATGTCCACGATGTGGTGGATGTGTTTACGCTGCCGAGCAAATGTTGGCTCGTGGAAGGGTAATTATATTTCATTTCTATACATTATTATGAAAGCAAACTATTCCTAGAAATGAGTCAAGTAATCCTAAGTTCTAAATAACTTTAAAATAAATGTAAATTTTACATCGTAGGCCTATCATAAAAGATGCTTCAAATGCCTTAATTGCCACAAGTCTCTTGACTCAATGACGCATTGTGATGGACCAGACAAAGAATTATATTGTCGAGGTATTTTAGTAAAAGTTTAATTGTTAGAACGAGCCTGCACCTTAATTGAGAGAGTGTGGGTTTTACGGACACCATTGTGGTAACCGCGTGTACCCGTGCATGTTCCACACATCCTTATCCTTCAATATATGTTCAGGCGTGGCATAAGGAGTGCTTCAAGTGCGGTGACTGCCAAAAGCGTTTGGACTCCACCAACTGTTGCGAGGGCTCAGACAAAGATATTTACTGCAAAGGTTTGTCCCTTAATACGAAATAGAACAAACTTGATGTTAGTCATGATTCCTTAAATATTAAATTAACTTTTGCCTGTCATTAAAAAGATGATATGATTCCTTTATCAAAATAAAAAGTCTACCTATATTTATTTACGGCATGTCTGTCCTTGTGTGTTTAATTTATGAATAAATCTTTTTTCTCTTTAGTGTGTTATGGAAAGAAGTTTGGGCCTAAAGGATATGGTTATGGCAAGGGAGCAGGTGTTCTGCAGAGTGACCCTTACGCCAATGGGTAAGAAATTCATCGATGTCCATACAAGCTTCATATCCTGGCGAGGACACAGCATTTCTTTGTTAAATTTCAGGGTTATATTGATAAGTCTTTAAATACTGTGTACTCATCAGACGCAATATATTAACACTCGCTTTCGCTGTAGGATGCTACTCCATAAAGTTTGGGCCTAGGGGTGTTGGACACGGGGGAATATCATCCTTGGGACTAGTATGTGATTTAAAGGACAAGGAATGGCAGAGGTATATGAAATATGTGTTCCCCTGCAACCAAGCCATTACAAATTGCAGTCTATAGGACTGGGACCGTCTATTTTAATAAATTAATATAATAATTTGCTAATACTAGGCACAGCAAATTATCAATGTTACCGAGCATGTATTTTATGTTAGTATTTTGACCAAACTAATTGATATTGGTCGTATATGTTTTATAATTATTATATGATGTAAATATAATTGCTCTCGGGTTACAGACAGGTTTCGGTTATTTCCATCGCTTGACTTTCATAAAAACATCTTATAATACAAACAAGAGATGGCACACTGCCAAAATGAATATAGAACGTGCTGTCCGTTCTCGAACGAACTAAATTTAATATAAGCAACACTGGCCACGCGCTCTTACAACATATTTAATCTGATGCAGATTCTACTAATTTATCTTGTTTATTATTAGATCGCATTCGAACTCTAAAAATGTAACACTTACATAATCGAGAGACATCTTTTTCGTACTAACATTATATCTGCGGGGGTAGATAATTTTTTTTTTAATAATTTGTTTTTACATTAATATTTTAATTATATGTATCGATTTCTAAACACCTTACGTTAGATTTGAAACAAACTATTGGATATTTATGACTTACTGTGTATTAATCAACGTGGTTTTTGTTATTTATTTATTATTACGATACTATACTTTTTATTTTAAGACAGTTATTAACAATTTAATTTTAATTGCAGCGATCTTGCTCCAAGGACAACGGTGATTGACACAGCCGCTATCAAAGCTCCCCCTGGTAAGGGATGCCCAAGATGTGGTGGCGTCGTCTTCGCCGCTGAACAGGTGCTAGCTAAGGGTCGTGAATGGCATCGCAAGTGTTTCAAATGCCGCGATTGCCACAAGACTCTTGATTCTATCATCGCTTGTGATGGACCCGACTCCGATGTTTATTGCAAGACTTGCTACGGAAAGAAATGGGGACCTCATGGCTACGGTTTCGCCTGTGGTTCTGGATTCCTTCAAACTGACGGCTTGACGTAAATATTTTTAAACTTCATACATTTCGAAATATTTTACATAAGATAATATTTTATAACATATCAATATATCTTTAGCGAGGAAGAGATTTCTGCAAACCGCCCGTACTACAATCCAGACACTACATCAATCAAGGCTCCCAAGGGCCAGGGTTGCCCAAGATGTGGTGGCATGGTATTTGCAGCTGAACAGCAACTGGCTAAGGGAACGGTACGTTTTCATACACAGATATATACAATAAAATACGATATAATATTTATTGAATCTTTGAATCCTGATTATTTGTAAATAACAACTATATAATTTATATTCACCAGATGTGGCATAAGAAGTGTTTCAACTGTGCCGAATGCCACCGTCCATTGGATTCCATGCTCGCATGTGATGGCCCCGACAAGGAGATCCACTGTCGTGCTTGTTATGCCAAACTGTTTGGACCTAGAGGCTTCGGATATGGTCACGCCCCTACTCTAGTGTCTACTGACACAGACCCACATATCACTTAGTAAGTGTTTTTTTTTATTTTATTTGGATAACCAACAAAAGAAAACATTATTACATTCATTTCATTATGACTATTAATAATAACTTAAATGTCCTTTTAATTATGGGCTATCACATCATGCAAAATATAATAATTGAAGTAAATCAAGATTTAAATTAAGTGTTTATATATGTGATTAAACATCAGAGATATCAATAATTTACATGAAATATTTATATTGTTTGTAAGAATTTTAAATTAAATTCTATGTAAAAGTATATTTTATAATTATGTTCTATATAATTGTATTCTATTTTATTTAAACAGCACTGAACAAATGCCCTTCACGGGTCCCAAAGCAGCAAAGGGTCAAGGCTGCCCTCGATGTGGATTCCCTGTATATGCCGCTGAACAGATGAACTCTAAAAACGGCACATGGCACAAACGGTGCTTCTCATGTGCAGACTGCCACAGATCTCTTGTAAGTATTATCAAATCTTAAAACTTAACTTAAATGTAAAAAAAATACAATAAAAGAAATTAATAGAAAGAAAATTTATTAATAATGTACACTTAAATTAAATTATTTTTTAAATATTGTCGATCATCATCTTCTGCTTTCTCTAAATGAGTATTTAAAAATTCTTCGACTGAATCGGTATTCCATTTCTCAATTGCTACTGTGTCTCTGACGATGCCATCTTTGTCCAAGAGTTTAATAATAGGGTCCAGTCCACGTAAGTACTTAATTTGTAGATTCGGGAACTTTGCTGGTCGGTCACTTTTCACGAATGCTTGTATTTGGGGATAGGCCGGAAATTTACAAGTACACACTTCCAAAATCGCTCGCGCGTATTTCTTTTCCTTCGGTGCTGAGTCGTCACTATGACAACATTGTTTGCAATGCTCTACTAATTGATCTAAACTGAAATCCTTTAATTGATCGCAGGACGAACATAACAGATTAGCTTTAATAAAACCAAGGGATGCGCAATCCTCAGACGTAAATTCAGTTAATGTTTGTGGAGCTAAAAATAAAATTAATAACAGCGGAAAACATATATAATATTGTGACATTATGTTAATTTTAAAGTAAAATTTAAACAAATCATAAACTTCTTTATAGGGAACAGTGGACACCGATAAATCTTATCCTATAACTCAATATCAAATTGTCATTTGTCAATGTCAAGCTTAGAGGCAGATAAAATATAGAAAGATGACGTGGTCTAACAGAATTTAGTAATATGAAGATTTAAAAAATTTTGTGCATTTAGAGCAATAAGAAAAAATTAATACTAATTATTCACATTTTTCAGGATTCCACTAACTTGTGTGATGGGCCCAATGGTGAAATTTACTGTCGTGGATGCTACGGTCGCAACTTCGGACCCAAAGGTGTTGGATTCGGATTGGGTGCAGGCACATTGACCATGGCTTAAGACTATAAAGCTGGACTTTGTAGGAAGCAGATAGTTTGCGTGAAAGCATGAAAGAAATCTAATCTCTAGCTTACTACTACTTATTTATCCTCTAATCATACCATGTATTAAACTGGTTTTAATAATGGTTGATTTAACTCAATGAGACTAATGTATGTAAAAAAATATCTATATAAACCGAATATTTTATGATAGGACGTATAAATTAAGGTTACATTTCTTTCATTTGTATAAACTGTGATGAATGTGTCTGGTCCCTTACTTTATAAATTCTTCATAAAATATTATTGTAGAATTATAATATGTATAGACTTAATAGTTATTGAATAAGTTAATATTATATAATACTTTATTATTAAAATAAAATAAAAAAAAAAAACAAAAAAAAATACTGAACGGCTTTTCAATGGCATTGTGATGACCTTCAATATGTATCTTATTTTTTTTATGAAGGCATTCGAACTATCCTGTAAACACGGCTAAGATTGTATTTTACAATCGTTTCGACCGACCAGATCTCAATATGAAGATCTGAAGTGGATATACATATTATCTATTAAGTTACAACAAAGACTTTTGTACATACTTTCGTCACTTCTCTTTCTTTACAGCAATAAGCTGTGCTAGATTTAACACCTATGCTTCGAAGTTTTGCTATAACATAATATAGTATGATATATAATATTACTGTAAATTAAGGCAGCTTATTACTTTACATTACGACATCTTTATGTTATTGTTTTATTAAATAAAGATCCATAAAAATAAAATCTTTTCTTGTACCCCACTAATTTAATGTTCAGAAATTGACACAAATTTAACACCCTTTCATAGTCTGTAAGACATTCCGATTACTTTTTTTTAAATAAAAAGTTCAGATTAAAAAGAAAATCATAAAAAAATAATTTTATTTAGGAAAAAAAGACAACATATAAAGGCAACAATGATAACAAAGGGTTTTAAAAAATTCAAACAATGAGACACAAATTAAATTTAAAAATTATTGCTCGAGACATTGTAATTCACAAAAATACTCATTATTCCACAGGTACATATGTAAATTCTTATTCTAAGGTGCAAAACATTTAAAAGTCTGGTATGTCTTAGACACAGACTATTTCATTATTATAGGCGGAGTTGTTGAAATCCTTATAATTAAATCACTTCGGCCACTATTCAAAATATTAAAGGCATTTCAGATTACCACTATTTAAAAATATGGCATGCTTGTAAACTATTGCTATTATTTTTTCTTCACAACAAGTTTTGGGCCTTTCTTCTTTTTATCCTTAGATGTACTCGGCTCTGCAAATCCATATTTGGCTTTTAGTCGTTCTTTTATAATAAGACCTCTTATAAGTCGCTTCCAATTTCCATATACTCGGGTTTCTATTTTTTCTTGTTCTTTACGTTCCAATTCCTCTTGATCCTAGAAAGAGTAAGGTCATTGTATTTTAGTATTACTATTTTTATTATTAATTTATTGTTATAACTAGTGATGAACAGATCCATATTGCAATCACTTACTGTTTTGCTAGGTTTTATAATAGTAAAATTCAAATTTTTATGAATAAGTATGTATATATGTAAAATTGTATGAATAGTTAATAAGGTAGCTTTGAAAAAATCGCTACTAATATTATAAATGCGAAAGTAACTCTGTGTGTCTGTCTGTTACGCTTTCACGACTAAAGCACTGAACTGATTTTAGTGAAATTTGGTACAAAGATGGAGTTGACCTTGAGAAAGAACATAGGATAGTTTTTATCCCAGACTTTTGAAAGGTTCTCTTGGAAACGCGATATAAACGAACTCTACACGGGCGAAGCTGAGTGCGGAAAGTTAATATTATATACAAATGAGAAGATGCATATTATATCATAAGAAGTGAAGTTAAAATCTGACTCTTTCACAATTCGGATGCAGCTCATCACTAATAAGGGATAAGTATAAGGTTACATAAACATGATTTACCTGTAGCCAAGCTTCTGTGAGAACCTTTTCAAATTCTTCACAGACTACAAAGCCCTCATATACAGGGTGGACATAGCCACCGTTGCAGTCAAAACCTGTTAATGCTGGAGCACAATCAATATTCAGCTTCTTAGCAACTCGTTGTAAACCTGGTACTGCAAATAAAATAATAATAATTGTGTACTTAAAAATTTCATTTACTACTTTTTTACATCATAATCTCCAGCTAAATCTATATTAAAATCTCTGTTTAAAGTATTTAGGGATCAGGAGGAAAACTTCTCAAATCAAATGGCTGTAATGCATATTAGCACTACATGTATATTAGTTTCAAAGGAAATTATAAATATTATTTGAAAAATATATTCTCCCATACATATAAATTACCATTTATACTTAAGAAAGGTAGCAGTGAATAATTAAATCTTCTTCTAAGCTTGTAAATATTAAATCATGTTCAAGAACCAAATAACCAAAAATTCAACTTACAATTGATGTGGACAGTGCCTTTCGGTAGCATGCATTTCTTAAACAATTCCACATTTCCATATGGATTTCGAGGAACAATTCCATTTTCTGCTGTAGGAGGTTCATAATCCTGTGTCTGCCATGGCCCGAAGATTTCCAGAGGTCGATCAGTTATAAATGTGTTTGTAGCCTAGAAATGAATACATTAACTCATAAATAATTATTATACTTAATTCTTATGTAAGTTAAATAATTACTGCCAAATTTATATATTTTTTGTGATTTTATAATAAAAAATTGCATTATATGATAATAATTAATAGTTTTAATTTCGTTCAAATATGAATTTTCTTAATTTAGTTATATACTAGTTGTTCAAATGGTCATCAATTACTTTTAATACTTTAACTTTAAAGTTAGCTGATGGAAAAGTTTGGAAAACATATGTATGTATTATATACAAATAAGTTACTTACTCTTATATATTTGGGACGAGCTCTAACTATTTTATATGGCTGTTCTCCAAGTTTAACTACTTTGGCTTCCTTTATCCAAACGTCTCTTGACTTGCAAATGTACACACAATCCCTCGGATAAACAGCTTCACCACGAACGAAACCAAGAGTTTCAGCATCAGGCGGATATATGGCTTCGAATTTGAGGAGATGACGTTTCAACACGTATAAAGGATGGTTTTTGTATCTGTAAATGCAAAGAAAAACAGTTTATTAAGTATTCAGAACGCAAAACAAGCATATTATTATCCTTTGTAATGGGTAACAATGGTAATGTTTCTTTTTTGCACTGGCTTCTACGAGTTATTTTTTGGTTTATAACAATATTTTCTTTACATATCTATGTTGTTGAAAAAGAATCGGAACGTCGGGATTACGTAATTATAATATAACAAAAAGCGCAAAGAATACGAATTAAAAGAAGTAATAACGTAATTTATTTATTTATATACTCTTTATTGTACACCAATTTATGTTTGTTTCATCAAAAAACTTTCACAGTCCTCAGCTACTAAAGTGGACCAATGAATTTGTATTTATATCATTTGACATTTCATTCATTGAAGTCAGTGATGGCCTAGTGGTTAAAAGGCCTGCCTCTCATGCATGAGTACCAATGTGATTTTTTGGAGTAGTATGTACTTTCTAAGAGTATTTAGACATTCCTGATTAATGCTTATTATGATATTAAGAGGGTTGAAGTCAGGCTGGCGGCCGGTCGTAAAAACAATTAGCCAAAACTATTCACAATACGTAAGGCATGCCCTGGCTAAAGCTAGGAAAGTGCCAGGTAGAAGATAATCATTTGTCATTTCAAGGCCGTAGAAACTTAAAAAAAAATGTCTTAGCTACAAGCTATTATGCAAACTAATGACTAGCTTTTAAGCTTAAAAAGACTAGTATCCAAGGCCGTAGAAATATAAAACCAAAAAAAATCTTAGCTTTGATCCTCATGAAAGATTTTAGACAGACTTACTCGGATATAACTTTAGGTAACGGCGCTTCTAATTGCATTCTGTGCAATCTTTCATCTTCCTCCCTGTCTCTGGCTGTTTTTGGTCCCAACCATGGTTTTATAGCTTGTTCCCACCACGTAGGGTCAACTCTAAGTTTACGTGTAACTGTGTTCCAATACGGCACATAGCGTCTTGTCAGATCTTTTAAATAATTATTGTTGTCCCAACCAACTATGTATGATACAGGGTGTGTTGAACGGCTCTGTAAATATACGATTATTTAATGAATAATAAGAAAAAGAATTTTGTTCTAAAAATTATAGATTACTAGCTGCGACCCGCGGTGTTAAACGCGGATTTCCGGGATGTAAAGTAGCCTATGTTTTATTCCTGGACGTCAGCTTCCTGTATATAAAATTTTATCAAAATCGGTTCAGCCGTTTGAGCGTGAAGAAGTAACAAACATACACACACACTCACAAACTTTCGCAATTATAATATTAGTAGAATGAATGATTTTTTAAGGACATTTTAAGGACAGCTTGGGTTTTTAATAATTACTTACGTATAATTCATTTGCAGAATGAACTAAGCCTCTAACAACATCAACAGGAACCCATTCCTCTAATTCTTCAACATATATTTCGCACCATACATTAATTTTATTCAAAGGCATCTCATCATCTGTTGATATAACACGACGGTCGATTTTCTTAACTTGCTTCTTTTGTTTAGGTGTAACTTTTTCCACTTTGAAATCTTCATCGCTATCAGATTTACGGGCAGCTGGGGATTCGACGGCCATATAATCACTATCAGAATCTGATTCATGTTTTTCTTTACCTGCAAAAAGGGTAATAAATGTATGAATATGGTTCAGAAAATAAAGATACAAGATCTTTTTGCTTGGTTTGTGGTTATCAATTTATTACTAACTTCTTTTACGAATTATCTTCTACGGTCTTTTCACATTTAGCAATTAAAATATTTTAAACAGATTTTGCTTGCTTGCATATTAGTGTGAAATAACTAAATATTATTTCTTATAGAGTTATAAAGTAATACTAAAAATTGATATACCTTTTACAATTCCTTTTTTTGCATCCGTTTTAGCCTCCTTTACTCTTTCCTTGATAATATTAACGAGGTCTTTCGTGACGTCATTCTTGGGCTTGGCTATTTTTTTCGCGAGATCTCTATGGCTAACTCTTTTTGAATCATCAGAATCTATTTTTCTAGTCGTCCTAGATCTTTTGGCGGGACTTTTGTCGGTATCAGAAGCAAAATATTTGCTTTCTGTTGCGTGTGCACTTCTTGTTCGAGCATTTGGCTTTTCATTCGTCAATTTCTTTGGTTCTGCTGTTTGTGACCGTTTTCTTGAAGTTCTTTTGATGGGCGACTTTTCAAAGAATTCACTTGATACAGTTTCATTGTTTATGTCTGTAAGGATGATCTTAGGTACTTTATCTGAGGACGATTGTTTTGGTAATGTCTTAGTAAGTATTGCTTTTGATTCGTTGAGCGAAGTAATATTTGCTCTTGTTGTTCTGTTTGCAGAGCATTTATTAACTATAGTTTTTGATGAAGTTTGAGGTTTATTGTCCAATTTATTTTGGGCATTTTCGGTATCTTTGTCATTTTTAGTAACTGATCGATTTAAACTTAATATTCTTCGTTTACTTTTAGTGGCTTTTACCTCATCTTTATTAGGAAGAATTTCTTGCTCATTAGTTTCATGTGTTGTTTTCGTATTTTTGGATTGCAATCTTAAGTTTCTTTTCGTTCTGGTTGTCGGTTCTTCTGTAACTGTCTCAACAGGTATTTCTTTTTGGCTTTCAGTATTTTCATCACAAGTAGTGTCATTCTTCATATTTTTCGACCTACTCGCTTCTTGAACTTTGAGATGTAAGCTAGGGTTCCTTCTAGGTCTTTTAGGAGGTGAGACTCCATTTTCATCTGTGTCCGTTTTCTTCGAACTATTAGCTTCATCAGTTTTTTTCACATTTTGCTTTGTTTTACCCGCTGTCTTTTCTAATTTCAAACTGAGATTCTTTTTTGTTATTTTAGTTGGGCTGATAACTTCCTCTGTTTTTTTAACATCGTTTGCTTGTTTTTCTTTTTTTAATGAAAGCCGTTGTCTTCTCGTTCTAACTATGGTTGTATCATCACCACCATCAACTTGCATAATATTTTGATCATCACTTTCAAATACATCATAATTTCCATCCAACTGTGGGATGACATCTTTCTTGCCCTTACTTTTAGCCGATTTGCTTTGTGATGTAATTTTCTGGTGGCTTTTCTTTGCATCCTCTGTATCCTTGACTTTGGTTGAAAGTGAACATAATTCCGAAACGGGTGGCCTAATAGGTAACGTAACAAAATTGAACATAACACGGCACTGTAATCCTAGACTACGCAACATAGATACAAATACAAAAACCATATATTTTTTCGTACTGAACACCCGTTTCTTCATTTGCTGGAGAAGAATATCCTTTAACGGTGGGGCTTTGGGTCTAAATTTGTTCTCATGTTTATCCTGATCTATGCTCACTTTATCTTTATACCATGTGGTTATTTGTTCCACGTATTTCATATCCACCCTTTCTCCGGGATAGCATTCTTTGGATGGTACTAATGACAATGCTGCAGCGAGCACCTCTTGATCGTTTAAGACCTGACTGACATAATTACCGTGTCCCAACCAACATAAAACATGTACCTTGTGCATGAAAACTTGATATTGTTTCTTAACACGATTCATTTTTCTCTTTAGCATCATTTCAACATCAAGCTTCTTTGTTTTTTTCTTAACTATTCCCGGAATATCAACAACCAACTGTAGTCCTTGTTGAGGTATTATTGAATGACTCTCTGTAAATTACATATAAATTTCTATTGAATATTAAGGTATTTATTTTATAATACGTGATTGACCAAAAATTTGGAAAGGATGATCTGTGTACTAAGAGCTTTCTTAAGTCAACAATGAATATGACTATGATAATGATGAGACTTAAGTTAATTAAACAGTTAATATACTTTACAAAAAAACTATGTTATCTTCTATATATATAAAAATGGATTGCTGTTCCTTAGTCTCGCTAAAACTCGAGAACGGCTGAACCGATTTGGCTAATTTTATTCTTGAAATACTCCTGGAAGTCCAGGAAAGGTTTAAAAGGTGAGAAAAATTGGAATAATTGCCGGGAAAACCCTAAAAACAGCCCTTTTCTATTTCCCATACAAACGTTTTTTTTGACATTAGATTTGACAACTAACTAATATGGCAATCATTCTGTTTGATTGAAACAGGAAAAACCTGATTATTTATGGCCTCTAAGACGGAATAGAGTTCGCCTGGTCAGCTATACCTACATATATTACTCTTGACCAAACTAACGCGGACGAAGTCGCGGGCAAAAACTAGTATTAAATATAAAATTATATCCATACATTACTAACAAAATTGTATTGCTAATAAATTACACTTTTGCAAAAGTGTTGCATAATCGCTTCTTCAATCATTATTTTTTAAATATTATCTTGGAGTACACTTTGATAGTCAGTTGGTTTTAGACCAGCAAATTGAAAAAGTTTCTTTAAAATCTTATGGGTTTTTAGGTTTCGTTTCTCTATAAAAAGTCAACTTCAGATATGGCTTTATTTTATGCACTGCCTCTGTTTGTCCATATCTCAATAGAATGAATAAAAGAATGAATAAAAAAATAAATATAACATGAATTTTTAAAAATTTTGTTATACAGATTGAGGATTGAAAGTCAAAGATTTCCTTCAATCATGACACAAATAGATCAAATTCTCTTTTACAAATACAGAGATCAAATACTCCTTTACAAAATTTATAATACTTTTGTAGATTATCCATGTCTATTGAGATAATTATCATTAATAGTCCTTGTCAAGCTTTTCAACCCTATAACATTTCTTCAAATCCTGCTTATACAACTAATTATTATAAATGGTAAGTTCATTTCTAAATTTTGGTGATTATACTAATACAATAATACATAATATTTGGAATGCAAATTCTTTTGATAAAACAATATAAAAAAATGATAAATAAATACCGTTTACTTCTTCCCAATCCTCCATTTCCGAGTCACTATTGTTTTTCACCTTTCTTTTCTTAACTTTACTTTGCACAGGTTCAACAATTTCTTCTTCACCGAGAGCCAATAAGTCCTTCACATCAGATTCTGTTTCTTCAACCTTCGTAGTGTATTTTTGAACAGTTATTTTAGCTTCTTCCATTTTATTTTTATGCTTTTCTAATTCTAAGAATGTTTTCCTTGCAATTTCTTCGCTTGCATCCACAGTATTGCTTGACCATACCTGTAAAAGATTTATATTAGTTATTTATATTAAAATAATGTTTCAAACAGATTAATTTGAAGTATATTCTTACATCTTTATATTCAATTGGTTTTTCTCCTTCATTTTCGGAATCTTGTGTTTGGTTTGTGTTGAAATTACTGACGACATTCTTCCGTGTTGATGTGCTCGGCTGTTCATCATCACTACTGTCTGAAATTATCAAATAATGATATTTATATATTATTTTATTACAATATTACATAAGATATTAGACAAAGATGCAATGTTTATAATCTATTTTGAGGTGTTTATTAGTAATTTAAATAAATTACTGATATGTATTGGAATAACCTTTTAGTGTGTTCACTGTTCAAACCCTTTATAATTATATATGTATGTATTTATATATTTAATATATAAACTCAAAAACCCAGTTTTTATACAATATTGTTTCTTATTGGTTATTAACTGCACTTTGTTGAATGTAATGCTAAAAGGTTCTTAAAAGATAATAATTATTAAAATTATATTTTAGAAAACAACTTAAGTTATGATGCTCACCACTTTCAGAAAGATTAAGAAACGATGGTAAAAGTTTATCTGCTTCGGTTAGATCTTTGACAGAAATTGGTGGTGCCTCAACTTGTTCATCAGAATCTTGTTTAGAGAGTCTTTCTAGGAATGTTTTAGTGAATTTAGTTTTCTTCTTTCTTACTTTAGAATCTAGATTCTTGGCTTTGGATTTCGGTTTTTTGCTTACAAAATCGTCGTCGGAAGAATGGTGTGATTTCTCATCCCCGTCTTCCTCTGAACTGGACTGTTCAGTTATTACAGCATCAGAGCCAGAATCACTGAAATCGCCTCCTTCATCGCTGTCTTCCTCATCTTTGTAAACGGTTTTAATTACTTTCTTTCTTGTTGTTGGCATTGTTAAGCTTAAGAGATATAACGAAGAGCAACGTTTTAGCTTCAAAAATCCAAACAACGAAGGTGCCGCTATATTATCACCATTGCACAATATTTATTATATATAGGCAATGTTCAAAATCGCATGGTGATCACTTTGTTATTGAATGTTATAATAGGCGGCATGGAAATTGACGGTTAATTGACAGATTACTGAACTTTTTGCCGTCAACGTCATTTTCTGTATGGCGTAAACAACATGAGAGATATTGCCCACCCATGACTGAGAATTGAAAAACACGCTTAGGTACATAAAATAATATTACTAATAGAAGTATGAAATCTAGAATACATCTTTCTAATAACCTGACTGATTCCTCTATAAGTCTATAATATGACATAATTAAATTAATCTAAAAAGCAAATGGATCTAAAGTTTAAAATTCTCGAAAAAATTACATGTCTTATATCTTTCGTACGATTATTTCCTTATAATCTACAGCCCGTTATTAATTTACTAGATTATTCAGTGCCATATATTCAGGGGTGAATTTACCTTTGGACTATATTGGCAGCCAATTTCCTTATTTATGACGTTTAGTGTTGATAAAGAAATCTAAGCATTCGTAAGTTGCAGTAACTTACTATTTCTTTAAGCAAATGATTTTTTTTAAACAACAAAAAACATGTTTGTCAAAAAACTTCCAATAAATTTATAATAAATATTAAGAGCAAGACATGGGTTTTGATGAAATAAACTCAGAAAATGATCAGATACTGAAGAAGCAAAATTTATAGATATGTTCAGTAATTGAAAAGATGCTTTGGATATTTGATACTTTTAATTGTGTGGGTTTTCATGTACGTCTTGACAGTATTTTTTTCAGTTATATTATTATAACAAATTCATTAATTAGATTAATCAAGACCGGGTCTAACTTGGTCATTCAGAAAATTATTAGTTCACAAATATCTCGATATCAATGCCAAATCTATTGTGTCTATATCCGTTTCATCGCTCAAATAGGTACCACTTCACGTAAATAGTATTAACACGAACAGTATCTATAGATAAAAAAATTCTTGCAGGCCATTTTAATGTTATTTTTTTTGAACTGAAGTGTAGAGTGAATACTAATAACTGCAAACATAATAATAAGTGATTTATTAGAAATAGGATGTATTTCATCATGCCTTAGTGATGTTGTGGTATGTGCAAACGTATAACCAAGCAGGAATAACCGTAAATCGAGCAATGTAAAACTTTCAATTTTCTTATACTTTTTTGTGATTATAAATAAGTAAAATTTTTATATTTTTAATTATTATTTTTTGTGTAATCTATAACATCAGCGCTCTGCTTTTTGTTCTTGTTATAGCATAGCATCCTCGCATTATGAAAGTAAGGAAGAAGACTTACGAAAGCATAGATTTCAGATAGATCGATAATCTTTGTAAATAAGGAAATTAATTGTTCATTGCTGAATAATAGCACAAATCTTTTTTACATATCCACAACAGTAGACTGTAGATATTTTTATAAAGTTTAGTTATAAGCTACAGGTTTTATACCAGTGACTAATATTTCAAGGTTCAGAGTTCAGACTTATGAAGCTAATGCTAATTGAAATTCTCTAAAATATATATGCAGTGTACATTCAGATAAAACTAAAAACGGTTATCTACAGACTACCTACAGTATCCTTGACGCTTTAGTACGCAGTGTAATTAACTCAAATGTAAAGTGAGTTAGGCCTAAATTTAGCACAAATTAAAATGTTAATGAGTTTCACACTCGCCCACATGAAATATCGGTGGCTCTACTATGTTTTATTTGGTAAAGATTGGACACATTAGCAATACAAAATTCTATGATTACCGAACCTGTTCATAGGTGGTAGAGCCTAACTGTGGTCAGTTATTACAGCTCGTACATGGGCTGGTTCGACCGGGGAAGTACCAAAAAGACTTCGCAGTCGCGTATTCAGCATATAGAGAATCGGAATTATTACAAGGAAAACATTCTAGAAAGAGTAAAAAGGTGGAAAACAGAATTTCCTACAGCAAAAAACGTGACCAAGACTATGATAGACATTTTGGTCTGAGATTGTAAAAGATTACGCAACTATTCCATTCCAACATTCCATACCTATTCCTGGAACATTTTGAGTTAAAACTTGATCACTTTTTAATTATATACGAAATCATAATTCATCGGCATTGGAATAGGACCTAATACACTTCAAATAAGAGTTAATTTTTTTCGGTGGCATTCTTTTTGGATTTTTAGAAACCATAATTTTTTATCATTTTCTGTATGGTAAAACTTGCTTTAACTGTCAACCTTGGATGTCATTTAAAAATATATCCCAGCTGACATTATTATTTGTAAGTTACTCGAGACGTTCTTTACAGGAGATTTTATTCACTAAGTTTATGTAATTTTTATTTCAGGGATGACCTTTTCTTATAGATATTATTAGAAAACTGAATATTTTAAAATTTAACTTCTTCAAAAATAGTCAATACAGCTGAAGTTAACCTGATTTTATGCCCTGGATTCTTAATGCAGCACTGACTGGACCACAGAAAATTATATTTTCAGCAATTTCTCACAGATAACTTGTTGCGAACACCTTAGAAGGTTTCGATCGTTCTCTCTTTTATTGCATAGATGCTATATATTACTTTCGTCACTTTTTTGACAAGGTAGAACTATAATAACGAGTAAAATAAATTCTCCATATAAATTTCGAAACAAAATATACGTTTTAACAAAAACCACAAGGGATAATAATAATTTTTATTGAGTAAGAATAATTGACCACAAGTTTTTGAACGGGCTATAACTATAGACATTGACAGATGGATGATTGTAATGACGCTAGGCAATTGTTAAAGTTTTTCTATATTTAGGTGATTTGCTCCGTTATAATTTACCTTTTTGACGTACAATTCATTTCAAACCTAAAAGAAACCACAATTATTTCATGATATTAATAGTAAAATATAAAGTAACAAATAATATTTAAGCATTAATTTTTTTTAATTACATGATCGAGTAATACTTTCACCCGTCTTGGCGTAATCAGCCCTTTTATTGGTTTTTTCGCTGTTGCTTGTTGTTAATTTTAAATGCACCATAAATTAATGACAACACGATCTGATAAACTGTAATCGAATGGTAGTGATACGAAGTAACAACAGAAAATTCTTAAAGTGGATAATCAGTATGACTATCAGTAAACAGCCAGTCTCTGGGTTACCCTATACAAAAATATATTTTTTAAGCTTTCAGAATATAAACGCAATAAAAACTTTTCTGTTATAAATTAATATGCAAAGTCTATTCAGCGAGTAAAAAAAGATCTTTGTTTAAACTGTAAAAAGACATCTATTTTTAATCCTTCATTAATTCTTCCACGTTTTATGAACTGTAAATTGTATGACTTGCCTATAAAAACTCCGGCTTTTTGTCATCTTTTTCAGCTTTCAAAGATTTCTTATGCTAAAATTTGTATCTAAATTAGTTCTTTATATATATATTTATGTTACTTTAATGGAATTGTATTTAATTTTGTAATGTTTTGTGTGTGGACCACAACGATTGGCATACTAGCCAACATCTACGTCATAATATAATAATAGTTTTTAGACATTAATAAGTAGTTCTCAAAGAAGCAAATTAAGTCGAAGCTATAAAAATACTAGGTATTCAAAAAATCATGTCTTGCACATAGTGATTTAAAGAAATATCTAATTATTTAAAGAAAACTGTGTTCACATTTAATTTGTGTGTGTTATTGTTATTTTTTTAATGTACATATTTTAATTAAGGTAAAATATTTGATTTTAAAAAGTAGATTGACTGTTGAATTTATCTCAAATCTGGGAATTAGTTATAACTGCAAATATGTACATTCTGCATTTAAGAATAACGTCGGTGACTTATAATGTGTTTAATTTCCAAAATTCTTAGTAGACGTAAATAGTTTTTGAAATACAAATACTTTAACCAAATCTAAATTTCCTGTTAAATATCAATCTTAAACAAATGAATAAGTAAAGTTTATTCATACAAGTTAAGCAAACTACAAAATACTTAGTTTTATTAAAAAAATGTATGTTATGAGGTGTTTTATAACAAATAATAAAATATTGACGCGGCTGTGACCTACCTATGTCTTTAGCTTCGATTTGCTAAAAGGTTTTATAATTTACGATAATGGTAAGGTTTTTGTGTTTATTTAAAGAATGGTAAATGGTCTGAATCAATCCCGTTAAGTGCTTTTCAACAGAGCTTTATTGCTTGTACAGCGACGTCGAGTGGATGAGTCGCAACTTGCAAACCGCAGGCTTGTCTACTATACATTGTCACTTGATCTTTTAAAACAAAACGACTATTATTAATTAAACTGCACTCTCTAATTATATAGGGTGGCAACCGGAGGTTCCACGAAAACTACGAAACATACTTATATGTATATTATAATACGAATAACATGTTAAAACTTATAATCTATACCTAAGCCTACATGATTGCCCCGATGTTAGGATGACAATAACATTCTATCAGGAATCTTCTGGTTCATACGGCTTGCTGTTCGTTCCGCGGAGTCAGCGGCGTCACTCGTTATACGATATTTTACCGATACAAAGATGTCACCCCAGCGATGTTCATGTTTTTTTCGTCGTATGTAGCGCGTACGTAACACTGCTGGTAGTCATTCTTAAGATAGTATTATATTATTCAAGTTAAAGATACACGATTGATTACTTAAATATTATTCTTTCATTTTATTGCATATGATTGATAAAGAAATCTTTCTCGCAGCATATTTAATTGTAAAACCAAATGAATCTTCCACCGGGACCTTGCTAGTCGTACCTACCTAATTATATTCATGGATATTTAGATAACAAGACAGTGTTCGTAATAAAGCATAAACTAAAGTAAATAACTTCAATTGTTTGCTGCCTTATTGTTAACTTTAATTACATTTTGAATTAATTTTATAATTA